ACAACCGCCACAACGTCAACAGTGCAAACTCGTGTTCAGTGCAACGATAACTCTACCAGATCTTACGAGAATCAATCTGTACACAGAGCCGTATCAAAGCTTGTTAAAACTGCTATAAACACTGCTATAACTGTGAAACTATTGAAATCTAAAGTGACATTATTGAATACACGCGAAAAGCTGAAAATGACTCATGAAACGCAATGTGACATTGCCATTGCGAATATAAAGTCAAAGGTCAATCAGACTTGTTATTGTGAAACATGTCACAATTAGGTTAAAATGCGGAAGCGGATGGAGTGGATCCACGGAACGGATATGGGGATAAAATATAGAACGGATGGGGATAAAATGCATTCTTTTAATGATACAACGTCGTAGTGCTTATTATTCATAACATATCTTATACAGCTATTTGGGTGATGGGAATAATCATATTAAATAAGTTCAGCGTATCAGTACCCTCGTTAGAATGCTTTTAGCGACAGCTGCAAATACAAATGAAGTTTTAGAATATGCAAAATTTGGGTGTTGGTGAAACAATTTAAATTTCGAGTTGTCGCGTGTAGCATCACAATAAATAAATAAATTGTATCAATTCCACGAGGCACGTTTCTGATCTGTTAGGCTTGTTTCAAACGTGGCGCTACTCATGTGCCGAACGCATTATAAAGTAGATAATGAGGTGAAATGCCTTTGGTAACTGTTTATTTCGTAGTGTAAGCCATCAGCCTTTCTAGGTTGTCGGCAACCCTATATAATTGTTGCAGTGTCTTTTTCAATTCGAAACTTCACACTATCCTTGGATCCCTAGTTTCTCACAGGGAATGTTGACAGGATGGGTTGGGTAGCTCCTAACTGACCCTTCCACCGCAATAGACGATTCCCCTTATTACATTTTCGTAGCGCTTTGCATTGTGGTTATAGTAGTATCACTGATAAAGATAGCGGCCTCGAATAAAAATATTGAATGTTTTCGCGAATATTTTGCTGTTGGATATCGTGCACCTGACCCTAGCTTTTTTAAAAGTTCTTGCATGGGTAAGAAAAAAAAGTAAGCTATCTTGAATATCAGTGATACCACTATAACCACAATGCAAAGCGCTACGAAAACGTAATAAGGGGAATCGTCTATTGTGCTCTGTGATCAGACATGAGTCATAAACTAGAAGCCAAAGGCACCCGTAGTAAACCTTCGACCCGGTCAGGTGGAGCTGCGCCATTCGCAATTCAGCTTAGTATTGATGATCAGCTGCAAGTAAGGAGGGCCTACTGCATGCTCCTCCTGGTTAGGGTCTAATAATGTATAAAATTCATACTCGAAATTTGCATATATAAAACCCCCTTCTACTTATACTTATAGCTCTACAGGGTGTATAAAAAAAAACTGAACAGATTTGTAATTGGTCTCAATTTCGCAAATCACCTATTTGTATCCAGTTTTTATATAAATAGCTTCTTTGGGTACTTATAATGTAGAATAATGAAAATAAATTCTTTTTGTGAACCAGGGGGGGGTGTCTTTTCCAACAAACTAAAAATGGCTCGCGCACAAAATTTAAAAGTTGTAATCAAATTTTGAGTTAATAGATGGAGAATTTGTCGGGCTTTTAATTACTGTACAAAATTTCAGACAATTTGGTTTAGTTTAAGCCCTTTAACTATTCACGCAAAGTTACATTTTTCCTAAAAATCAGCTATTTGCATGCTTAATTAATGCCTTTGCCTAATTTGCATATGTTAGCAATATGCAAATTAGGTAAAGGCATTAATTAAACATGCGAAAGGCTGATTTTTTAGAGTAAAATGAATAGTTAAAGGGCTTAAACTCAACCAAATTGTCTGAAATTTTGTACAGTAATTAAAAACCCAACAAAGTTTCCATCTATTAACTCAAAATATGATTACAACTTTTAAATTTTGTGCGCGAGCCATTTTTAGTTTGTTGGAAAAGACACACACCCCCTGGTTCACAAAATTTGAGTTTGAGAATTTTTTTTCATTATTCTACATTATAAGTACCTTTAGGAGCTATATATATAAAAAACCGGATACAAATAGGTGTTTTGCGAAATTGAGAGCAATTTCAACTCTGTTCAGTTTTTTTTTATACACCCTGTATAGTATCAGTTCTAAAGTATTCTCCCACAGTTCTAGTAACCATCATTAATTAGTTATTGGTCTAGCGTTATACTGGAGCAAACCTAAAGCAGAGACTAACTTTATACTGCAAAGATTTATCAGTTCTAAACTAATTTTGTTAAAGGAAACTGGAGTGCCCAGAGAAAAACATGGGCAATGTTTGGTAAAGTCAAACTAGGAGCACTCTTAGTCTTTTCTCACATGAGAGTGAAGCGAAATCGTACCAGATAAAAAGCAGCATGTTGTACGCACGTAAAAACGCACAAGTGTTACAAATCTGTTCACAAACTGTCGACAGGTTGTGCTCGCACTGCTATTAGCAACTTGTAACAAGCTTGATGGCATTATCAGATTTGTTACAAGGTTGTTCTAGCAAGTCTGATACAATCATGATATATAACAAGAATGTTACAACGTTGATATATACATATATACAGATACTACTATACTATATATACAGATACTACTATACTATATATACAGATACTACTATACTATATATACAGATACTACTATACTATATATACAGATACTATATACTATATATACAGATACTATTATACTATATATACAGATACTATATATACAGATACTACTATACTATATATACAGATACTACTATACTATATATACAGATACTACTATACTATATATACAGATACTACTATACTATATATACAGATACTACTATACTATATATACAGATACTACTATACTATACTATACAGATACTACTATACTATACTATACAGATACTACTATACTATACTATACAGATACTACTATACTATACTATACAGATACTACTATACTATACTATACAGATACTACTATACTATACTATACAGATACTACTATACTATACTATACAGATATTACTATACTATACTATACAGATACTACTATACTATACTATACAGATACTACTATACTATACTATACAGATACTACTATACTATACTATACAGATACTACTATACTATACTATACTATACTATACTATACAGATACTACTATACTATACTATACAGATACTACTATACTATACTATACAGATACTACTATACTATAATATACAGACACTACTATACTATACAGATACTACTATACTATACAGATACTACTATACTATACAGATACTACTATACTATACAGATACTACTATACTATACAGATACTACTATACTATACAGATACTACTATACTATACAGATACTACTATACTATACAGATAGTACTATGCTATACAGATACTACTATACTATACAGATACTACTATACTATACAGATACTACTATACTATACATATACTACTATACTATACATATACTACTATACTATACATATACTACTATGCTATATATATACAGATACTACTATGCTATATATATACAGATACTACTATACTATATATATACAGATACTACTATACTATATATATACAGATACTACTATACTATATATATACAGATACTACTATACTATATATATACAGATACTACTATACTATATATATACAGATACTACTATACTATATATACAGATACTACTATAAAAGTACGTAGGTACTCTTGCTATCTGCGTACTTTTTGCTGGTACCACATGACCTTTCCAAGCCCAAGGTATTCGATACCGTAATTTAGTTGGTATATCATTTGTCTGAGATGTCTTTTCATGAAGCATGATTGAATTGATGGCACTAGGAAACGTTGGAGTCGATTGTTTGTTTATGTGTTTGTGCTTCTTCTTCTACCTCGTAGTCAGAACATTACTTTCAAAAATCTCTAGTGAAACCGGAAATAAATTAAATCACGACCGCAATACTGTTTAATAATTCGAATGTATGGATTATTTAATTGATGAATAAGTTTTCAGTGATATGGGGCGACCTGATATTAAATTTACTATTTAGCAACCAGATCTTATTCCCTTGTAGCCACTTGGGCGACTAAACATTTTTTTAAATTTCAATCTCTGCATAAGCTTACCATTGATAACAATCTCATTTACAGGACCAAATGTGACTCGAGCTTGTAACAGTAACGATGGTAGGCCTGTCTGGGGTGATGTGAATTTCTCCAACTGTAGAACTTCTGTTGTCGTCGAACTTGTTGAGAAGGTGATTGTCAAATTTGTCATAAAAACAATGTTCAAATTTGAAAGTGCATTACGCCGAATTTGAACATTGAACAACCACAGTCCACACTCTCAAATGACAGATAAGGAAAAATTATTCCCTAAGATTCTCCCATAACGTATCTGTGAAAAATTTAAAATGTTCCTCAATTTTCTTGCTAAGACAAATTTTCCTCGGGACTCAGGACCCTACTTTTTTCCATCTTTAGTTTAAAATTACAATGGCTTTACAACAACGACAAATTGCATGCAATTATATTACAACTATCAGAAATTTATATATGTACAATTTTTTAAAATATTAGATGTCTAGAAATTTTTAAAAATTTATAAAAGGTTTGCAAAATTAATTTAAGTTTCGTGCAGTCCCTGTCACATCACTCGGGGGATAAAACTGTTTCTGTGTCGTAGTTTGGTACCAGAAAACGGTATGTATTTTAATCTTCCGTTTCTATGTCTGAGATTATGGTCATGTTTATTATGATTTATGTATTTTGGTGGCAAATACATGTAATGGAAATATTTATAGCGTCATTTGCTGATGGAAATCAGGGATGATTGCCAGATCTGGGGGGGGGGGGTACTTATTGACCCATGGTCATGGTTTGGGGTGCGACCATTGCCTTAGTCTATTAAGATCTGAAATCTGAAATCCCGGCAAAGGATCTGAAATCCCGGCAAACTTCAATTCCTCAAAATAGAAGACTTTTGTTTGATGTTGAACTGCACCTCCCCGTACACAAATCCTTTGTCTCAACTTCATTAAACATTATTCATCGTAACTGCACGTTTCATCCCAGCTATCCCTATTAGACGGTTACTTAATTGTACGAAATACAATGAGATCAATCACCGTGACTGTGCACAAATTAACATAAACTCAGACAAAAACATATAACAAACACTTCTGTTTAGTTTCTATACCATCATATCTTGATAGACTATGCATTGACCAAGTACATAATCATTTGTGCTACGCATTGCAGTGTTCTGTAGAATGGCCGAAAGGGGCATTATTGTGGTAATGGTGACAGGATATTGCCTTCACAATCCCGTTCAGCATCCCCTCCCTCCCCCCTTACACTCCCGCTTCCTTGCCAAAACTAAGAGGGGGTCCGCATTCGCACATTTTGGGGGGGGTGCTTTCCAATGGCGAAACGAGCGCCGAAGGCGCGAGATTTCTAGGGTGGTCCGGGGACATACTACCCCGGAAAATGTTTAAAATTTGGATCTCTGAAATGGCATTTCCAGCATTCTGAGAAAACATTCTAGAAAATTTTTAGATTCTCAAAACATTTAAAAATTCAGAATATTTAATATTGACTATTCCGCTATTGTCAACTAGTGATACGCAACTGAATTCCTTAACATAAGTTGGTTAGAATTAGGATAAACGTCATTTTTGCACCCCCCCCATGCACCCCTGTTGACCAGAGCCTGGGGGGGGGCGCACCCCCCCCCTAAATCCACCACTGGTTAATCCATCCCTGACTTCCATAACTATCAATGCATTTCTAATTGACCACCATTCATGTGTAGCATAATTTCTGCTACACATGAATGGTGGTCAATTAGAACTGCACAATATAAAACACTTGAGTGAAACCCACTTTACAGGTCTCTAGACTGGACGAAGGCTTTAAGTCGGAAAATATCAGTGAGATCTTGAAAGAAACAAAGCAAGTTTCAGAGGATGAACTTTATGAACAAGATGTCCGTGACATTGTGTACGTTTTGGAGAAGACAAAGGAGAAAACGGAAACACAAGATGATCGACAGAATTTTATTGATTCATCAAGTAATATAGTGAGTCAGAACAAACGGGATGTATGGGTGAACATACCGGTAAGAGGACATGCAGATATTTTATTAGTATGTAGATGGATTTTTGTGGATAGCCCGTGAACGGGCTAGTGCTGTGCAAACTCCGGTTTTTCATCTCCGGCTCCGGCTCCGGCCGAATTACAGCTCTGAGCTTCGGCTTCGGCTCCGGCCACATCATAAAATATTAAATAAATGTTTTACGATCAGAGAACATTTATTAATATTATTATGAATAACCCTTTTCGCGCTTCCTAATTATCAGATAACATAATTCAGGAAACAAAACAGTGAAAACACTTAACCACGCAGAAAATATCTATATGGAAACCAGCCTCGAAAAATCTTTGACACGAGGCATGACGCGAGGCATGACGCTAACACTCTCAGTCTCCACAGCGCAATTGTTCGCACGCAAACAAAGTACTCTGTCATTTTCTAAAGGTTGATATTTATTTGTTTTGTACTTTTTCGTTATCTACAAGGCATGAAATACACAGACTACAGTATGTAGCCCTAAGTCAGATGGCTTCATGAAAGCATGACGTTTGTAAGTTGCGATCGTATTACAGCTTTTCGACGCTGTTCCTGTGGGCTGTGGCAGTTTGAATCTATGATGAATTCATTAACAGCAATTGGCAGTTTGCAGTAACTAACAATCGTTTGACATTTGTCTCATTTCATATTGTTTTCTTGTCATTTTGCCGGAGCTGGGAAAACGTAACTCCGGCTCCGGGCTCCGGCATACAAAATTCTGCTCCGGCTCCGGCGTCGGAAAAACCGCCGGAGCTTTGGCAGAACTCCGGCTCCGGCAACTCCGGCGCACAGCACTAGAACGGGCTAATCACTATGCCATATACGAGGCATGCATCCTTGCGTATTTATAAGGTTTTCTCTGCAAAATATTTTCACATTATTGGCTGCTCCATTGGTATCAATTATTGTTCTCAAATGAAGTAATAGTAATTATTGTAGGCATTGTAAGAAATATAATGCTGGATCTCCTTGTCTAATTTGGTGAATTATTATTATATTATGTCGTATTACTATTGAAGATTACCAGACTAGCCACCTGTACGCATTGCGTAGATGGATATAATATCCTACAGTACGGACCTCTCCCTCAGTCAATAAAGGTCCATTTCCAATAAGGAAAATATTCCGCAGAAAAAAATTTGTAAAATGTGATTGACCAACCCAAATTTTCTGTCGGAAAAAAATTTTGAAGTTGAGAATTTTCATTTGACAACTTTTAATTAACAATGATATTTTCGGGAAATTTTCTGTCCGTGAAAATTTTTCTTGAGTGGAAATGGGCTTTAACATATACTTATTTTCCAGTCTAGAAATGACTTAGCGAAGGAGATTATAAGTGGCACAGATCTGAATGCGAGGAACTATATCTCTCAAACTGCGGAAACAGGAGAAATTGTCACATATAGTACACCCAATATTGACGTACGTGGAATACGGCTGCCAACAGTAAAACCCACCGAACCCGAACTTGAAGATATCAGGTTGCTGGACGCAGTTGGAGAGGGCGTGATTATCCCTGCTGTTGTAACCAATAAATTAAAACAAGCAACTGTAGTGAAGTACAGTTCAATCAAGGATATTTTATCCGAGGAAGAGTTGAAGGACTCCGTGGATAATACCATAGGATCGACTGAATCATTGACGATCAGAAGCACTATTGTATCTTTCACATCCGAACCACAATTTAATGTGTCCGCGTCTAATCCTTTTAAGATTGTATTACAGAATAACCAGGTATGAGTCGAGTACAACATTGAATACGATAATCACTATACTAAAATTGTTTTCAACATCCTTACTATGGTTTCGGTATGGCTTTTTGAAAGTGCTTCATATTGATGTATTTTTCTTAGACTGGTTATGTATGCCCAAGACGTACGTGTGCGTTCATTGAACCTGAGATAAACAACAGCATGTGGGGCAGTGAAGGATGTACATTGAATGAAGCTGAATCAAATGAGGATAATGTTACCTGTGATTGTGATCATACCACTGCTTTTGCTATTATAATGGATGTTGCGGGTGTACAGGTAAGATGGAAAGGGACGTAGCGACCGGAGGGGTGCTGGGAGTGTAACCCCCTCCCAATTATATGTTCATGAGCACAGAAAAGAAAATAGACCAGAAGCCTCACTGTACATCTTTCCCTAACATTTTCGTGTCCGCGATTTTCGCCTTGCGGATCACGAATTTCGCACGCTAGATGACGTGTGTGACAGTTGCTGGGAACATTACGTCAGCGTTCGTCAGCGTCAATTCCTCAAATCAACGGTTTTTCTTGAAATTCGCAAGTCATGCTCAAAGTGTACGCTGCATATTCTGCAATTATTGTGCAAATATTTTACGCTTTTGTTTTTTACGTTGTGTCTTCCTGTTGCGATGACCCATTACTTGGACCTGTGGCATTTTAAAAACGGTTAAAACAGTAATCTTTATTACGTAGTGATGGCAATTGATGGCGTAATTGGCGTTGCTCGCGTTTGATGGCGTCGTGATTACACTTGCTGGCTCGCGCATGCGCATAAAAATCTCGGACATAATTTTGGCTGAGTGTGGCTTCTGGTCTATTTTCTATTCTGTGTCATGAGTAAGTTCAGGTAAAATTCTAGGTGATTCTTTGTGATTTTCAGGTAAATTCTAACAGCATTGACTGGCAAACGTGGAAGTTGACAGGGAAAGCAAACTAAGACTGCCAAATTTTAGTTACATTTCTAAGGGTCTAAATATTCAAAATTTTCTCGGGGAAAAATACCCCGAAATAGACTTAGCCCCGTATTTCATTGTGGTAATATATTCTATCGAAAGGAACACCTGAAACCTGAATGTACTCATGAAATACCAACGTAAAAAGTAATTTAAAAAATCATATAATTTTGACCCTTACACCCCCCCTCCCCCAACAATAAAGCCTCCTTAACCGTCGGCTGTTAGCCAATCAGAACCTCCACGTCGTCTGATGTACTAGACAGAGGTTTCCCCCTAGAAAAGTTTGAGGATTTAGACCCTCAGAAAGCCCAGAAATGCAACTCTTAGCTTGCCTTCCCTTTTAACTTCCACATTTGCTTGTCAACTCTTATAATTTTCCTGAAAATCAGCTTAAAATACCTAGAAATTTACTTGAAATTACTCATGAACAAATATTGGGAGGGGGTTACATCCCCTACGGTCGCCATATACAGAGCTCATTGGGTGGGTTATATCCTCCAATTCCTTTGGTTTCATGCGTCGCATGTGAACGTGTTAATTTGCTTATGCTGCGAAATTTCTCACTTTTTTATGATTACATTGTAAAGAAAATTCAAAATGACCAAATGAGATACTTCGCGAAACTATCGTAGCTTGCTTCGCTCTTCAGATATTTAACAATTTATGATATGCAAATTATCGTAACATTGCTAAAAAATATCGAAATTATAGAACCGTGAAATCATGTGTGTTGTCCACATCATATGCTGTGGATAGTTTGCGTATAAATATCTCAAGAAAGAAACAAGCTAAACTAGTCGGTTGGCAAAGTACCTCACGAGTTATTTTGAATTTTTTTGACAATGCCATCACAAAAAAAAGATGTGCAATTTCTTTGGGTAAGCACTTCTAATATTTCTTTAAAAAGTCATTAATTCATTTGTGTCGGTTTATATGTGATAAAAAAATCATGTTAATATACATAGACATTGGCTTTGATTTTCTCGACTTAGACAACATTGATTTTTAAATTACTTTGCCAGTGAACTCGTAAGATGGGTCGGTTTTTAAGCTATTTAAAACATTCAAAGTTCCGTGCTTTTTCAGTTATAATATTTTTTATCTGATAAAGCAGAGTGTTTTAAATAGTACATGGCATTTTTCCTTACCTTTTCAGCTAACGGAATCTGAACGCGAGATATTGGAAACGATTTCAACCGTTGGCTGTTCAATATCGTTGGTCGGCATTGTGCTTACAATTCTAATGCATGTTTTGTTCTGGAAACACGTGAAGTCCCCTCGCGCCAAAATTTTGGTCAATTTGTGTGTTGCGATTGGATTTACCGATATCTTTGCCATACTTGAGGGTGTCGCGAGAGATAGTCCGGTAAGTTATTTTTCCTAAATAAGAGATAGTCCGGTAAGTTATATTTCCTCCGCAAATATTTTTCTATGGGATGTTACTAGCGTAGTAATTAGTGCATGAGCCTTTCGCCTCTGTAACCGCGTGGTTCGATATGAGTGCAATTTGGATAAAACATGCTGCACGAGTGAGTTTTTCAAAGAGCATCAAAATAGCATGAGTCCAAAGGACGAGTGCTATTTGAGGTCTTTGAAAAACTCACAAACCACTGACAAATTTTCTTGCTTTGTTATATCACATTAATCAACGCTGACGGCTTGAAAATTTCACTCAACTATGTAGTTTTGTTAGTCTGTTCCACTTAAAAAAAAAGATACAAGCCATAATTTCCACCCGAACTAACATTTTACTCATGTAGCGCGGCCGCTATTGTTTGTTTTGTTTTGAATCAATCTCTGACCGTTACTTGAACACTGCTTTATCAAGCTGATTGGTCCATAAGCTTCCATGGGCGTCCAGAATTCCCACTGGCGCAGAAGCGTGCCGATTAATTTTTAACTAATTAAATGAATTAAACAAACTAAACCACTTTTATATACGAAATAGTACGTCGTTTTCGAAAATAACATATAAAGTATAGACCAGGTTGGGAGTCAAGGGTCTGTCAAGGATAAAGGACAGCTTTTATATTGGCTTTTATAATAGTCGGAGAACTTATTTGCATAAGATGCGTTGACAGCCATTATGTTTCTTTGTTGTTGAAATGATCAGGTTGTTGCAATATTGATGAAAAGAGGATTGAACAATGTTGTGAGGCCCACATTGTTCACAGTTGTCAACAATATTGAAAACTATTGTTACACCCGATTCAGGCTCAACAATATTGTTCAATATTGTTGACAAGTGTGAACAATGTGGCCCGCGCACAACATTGTTCAATCCTGTTGAACATGCAGCAAGCTCATATTTTTTACGCGTCAAATGCTAAGCTATCACGTGATTGTAACCCAAGAATACGTATGATATTTCTAAATTATTTTCAACAGAATTTCTGTAAAGCAGTTGCGGCTCTCCTGCATTTCTTTGTGTTGTCAGCATTCGGATGGATGTTATGTGAGGGGATATTGCTGTACATCTTACTGATCAGAGTATTTGATGGCGTGCGTGGCAAACATTGGAAGATCTTTTATTTCATTGGCTGGGGTAAGAGTTTTCTTTTCGATCATGGAGAAGTACCGTAGAACCCCGGTTAGGTCGAACTTATAGAGATTAGTACAAGCATTTTAGGCTACTACCGTACCCCTGGAAGAAGATTTAGTTTTAGAAGGAGGACATTATCCCCACTTTCGTCAAAACCCTACCCACACCCCCGGAAAGGTCTTATAATTTTGGCTCTCTCAAAGAACATTTCCCGCATTCAGACACCTATCCAAAGAAATAGAAAGGATTCGGTGAAGAGTGTTGAAAATATTGAACCCATCGTCATCATACAGTGAATCTTTGTCAGATTTTAACATCGCAACATTGTATTCTAGGTGCGAACTGTTATGTTCAAAATTTTTTAGAAGAAAGGTTCTTTCGAAAAGTAGTAATCTTTTCGAACTTGTTGAACCAGCAAAACATCCCAGCTACATGCAATCTACGTGCATCGAATAAACTCGTTCCAATTAACTGTAGGACAAACAAACCGCTTTAAAAATTCGTTCATTCCCTCGTCTGTAACGATGTATAAGAAACATTGAGTAACTTATAAATTACATATATTTTTATCTGTAATAATGGTAATATTTTACTAGAAGTTCTGAACTCTTCCAATATTATTGCAATTACACTTTTGCAAATATACATATTGGACCTATTCCCTAATGAATAAAATTTTGAGACAAAAAGTGTGGACAAGGATTTTATCACATCTTGAAGGAGCATCACAAAATTAGTAATATTCCGAAGTTTCTTGCGAAATGTTGTAAAATGCGGATAATATAGCCCTGCGAAGTTTGCCGTTTTTCAGTCATTTTGTATTACGCATGGAAAATTGATACCTTTTTTCAGAAAGCGGTATCAATTTCCTGTGCATAATACAAAATGTCTGAAAAACGGCAAATTTCGCAGGGCTATATTATCCGCATTTTACAACATTTTGCAACAACACTTCGGAATATTACTAATTTTGTGATGCTCTTTCAAGCTGTGATAAAATCATTGTCTACACTTGTCTAAATCAAAATTTTGTTCATTAGGGAATAGGTCCATTAACCAACCATGTAAATGATAGGCGTACTTCAACCTTTATGGTTGCAAAGTTATGGGGCTTCGGTGGCGAACTGGCTAGCGCACTTGCCTTTCACCTCTAAGGCCGTGGGTTTAAATCTCAGTGAGAACTTCTCAATGTGACTCGCACCCAGTCCTCACGTGAAAAGAACAAAGTCAACGCTCTGCCGAAAGTCGTGGGTTTTCTCCGGGTACTCTGTGTTTCCTCCCACAGGGAAAGTTGACAGGGTGTGTTAGGCTCATAGGTCTGAGGCAGATCATTAATAAGGTATGGGCTAATAGCGGCTGCTCAAGCGCCATTTGTAAGCTCAAAGTCTACCTCGGTCTGCTTCACGTCAGTCCGGTTCTATCTATCTATTCATAATGTAACCAGTCACTGAAAAGCCCTGATAGGGAGTGTGCTGTGAAATATCTGTAATCTATATTTTTAATAAAATTCAAATTTTCAGCAAAACTATAACCGTTTTAAAACAGGTTTTTAATGGTACGTGCGTTTACGATTATGCAACGATGCACTCGAGATTTCCAGTTAGTTCTGTATGAGTGGGATGCCCAAAGTCCTGATGAAGATCTAACATTGCATGTTTGCAACTTATAATATACGTACATCCATTACAGGCATCCCTTTATTGATTGTTGCTGTATCGTTCGGAGCGACTCAAGGTGAAGGATATGGCACAGAATCTTCATGTTGGCTTAGTGTTGAAAATAAGTTGATATGGGCGTTTGTGGGACCTGCTTTCCTCGTCATATTGGTAGGTGCTCTCATCTTCTTGTTTAGAACGATTGAAAGAGGGATGTTTGGTGGCACAGTAGTTTGTGCATGCATGTATGTTGTCGTGTGCGAGAAAATGAAGTAAGACTCAGTGTTCCACTAGAATTTTGAGTAGGAGGTTTTTTGAAAGAAGTAGGTGGTTATGCGCTGCTGAAGGTTTCACTTACCAACGGTGGAGATCCAAGGGCATCACCTCGCGAAGATTTTGAAATTTAGACCTTATGATCAGGGCCGTTGCGAGGACTTTGCCTTGGGGGGGGGGGTAAGGATATATTCACCTGAATTTATCCAAATTAACGTTTTTACCTAATTTCAGTCGCTAATTAATATTTTTTTCCAAAAATTGTTGGCGAGCGGCGGGGGACTTCGCAAAAAATTTTCCGGACATACCAAAAATTTTCCGAAAATATCGTAATTTTCGCGAACATACAAAAAATTTTCCCGGCATATCATAATTTTTCAGAAAATACAAAACTTTTTCAGGACATATCTTAATTTTTTCGAAAATAAAAAAATTTTCCCACAGATATAGTAATTTTTCCCAATTCACTTTCTTATGCCCTGAGAATTACCTGAATTTACTCAAAAACCTACTGGAAATCTACCTGAATTTTCCTAAAAATCTACCTGAAATTGCTCATTAGGGGGGTGTTGCCCCCCCCCCACACACACACACCCGGTCGCTACGGCCCTGCTTATGATTTTGAAATTTAGACCATTTTGGGGGAAGAGTTTTGGAGATTGTCTCGTATTATCCAAATATTCAAAGACGACTATAGTGTAAAATGTATGTTATGTAAAAGAAAGAAACATTTCCGTTGCCATTTCTGTGGTAACGAGAAAATATTTTGGGTTATAATCAAATCCTCCAATTCGGACCGGATAAGATTTCAAGTCCTCACAATTTGATCCAATCCTCGGATTTGATCAAATTTCGCGGACTCGAAATCTAATCCAGTCCCCATAGTCGGATTTGAAATATTACATCAAATTATCTGGGTTCCTTTGTGTATAATCTTTGTATCATTTTCTAGGCCAATACTATCGTGTTTGTGATGGTCCTGCGTACAATGATGAAATCTCAGAAAGTTAAACTTCAAGACAATTTTCATAAAGTGAGAACTGGTGTCAAAGCATCTGTAATAATCTTCCCAATTCTTGGTTTGACTTGGATATTTGGCGTGATGACTTTCAACAGAGAAACGCTGTTCTTCCGTTATCTTTTTGCCGTGTTTAATTCCGCGCAAGGATTGCTCATTTTCCTGTTCCATTGTGTTCTTAACAAACAGGTAATGGCAGTGAGGACATATAGAGCTTGGGCTTCAGTGTAGCAAGTATTTTACAATAAGCTGCCGTGGTGTGTGTTTGCTTTATCTGAAAATGATATCTCAAATGTGGGGTTCGGTGACTGTGATATAATCTTCAATTGTCTTTGCCAGTGTAGGTAGTCTCAATAAAATACAGTGGAACCCCGCCTTACGGCCACCCCGTTAATACGGTCACCTCGATAATACGGTCACTTTTCTTGTCCCGGCGAAACACTAATACATTTTTTAATAAAGTTACCCGGTTAATACGGCCACCCCGTTAATACGGCCAACGGCCATATTGTAGAGTCCCGAACTAAAGAAATCACCCCGTTAATACGGTCACTCAAAAAAATTAATGTGTTTACGGACGGAAATGCAGTATAATTTAAGACACCTTGTGCAGTGAAACACACAATTCAAGTTGCGTCATATTACTAATTTTTTTTATTTTTATTATCAGTCGCGCAAAGGAAAAGAAAGAATACAAGGTTCTTTAGCGACGTTGTATTCCCTAACATTGTTTCCTTAAAATTTGTGAAAACTTTATCTGAACTTTATAATGTTTAGTTATTAATTGGTATTATGGTGGGGTATGGTGTTATTGTGATTTTCGAATAAACATAGCTTTAATGACGTCACAATTGAAATTTGATCTCACCCCGTTAATACGGCCACCCCGTTAATACGGCCACCCCGTTAATACGGCCATATTATTTCGGCCCGTTGGTGACCGTATTAACGGGGTTCCACTGTATAGAAAATATTCGTTGGTAGGGATGCAACTACGTGAAAAATACAAGGAGAAATTCGACGTTTCGAGCGAAGGCCCGTGTACTGTAAATAGTATTCTACCATAAGTTGTCGTGATTTGTGTCTAAACTACCCGAACAGATATCTCAAACGTGCTGGTAGTATTGTACAATAAGAAAAAAGCATACGAATAATAATGTTATCTTGTAAACTCGAAATATACGCGAGTTACTTAAAGAAAACAAGACACAAATTATGGTGGTGATATTTGGACTCTAATTCAGGGTCATTGTCAAACCAAACTAACTATTTACAAGCCTGCTCAGATCTTTACAAGGAGAATTAGGAAGATGACGTAATCAGCTGGAAGGGAAGACAGAGATGTCCTCAGGGTGTCAACGGGACTTGAAAATCCTGGAAAGTCATTGAATTGGAAAAAAATTCCAGGATTGGAAAGTCCTTGAAAATTAGTAGAAGTCCTTGAAAGTTCTGGAATTAATTCCCTTAACTTCTTTTTCAGCTGTGCCAACATTAGTGATTTTGATTAAAATTACTGAATAAAGTGAAAATATTTACAGCATGTCCGTGCCATCTTTAAAGATTTTCAAAGGGCCTTGAAAGTCCTGGAAAAGTCCTTCAATTTCACCTTCCCCAAAGGTTGGACACCCTGTGTCCTTTGGTTTCCATCTAAATTTAACAAATAGCGCTCTTTCAAATCTGATGGTAATGTGTTAAAACGTTTTCCTCCTTGGAGCATAAACGATTTCCTACCATTCTAGAATCTTGTTATTTTGGGTATTTATATTGTGTTCATGCAATCCTTCTAAAATAGTTTTCATATGGTGAAGGAGCGTTCCATTCAAGGATGGCTAATCTATTACAAGACGATTGTATTGAAATCAATTTATTAATAGTTTTACTTCCAAAAACAACTTTGAGTGCTCGGTCTTGAACTCTGTGAAATCGATTTATCATAGAGTCGGAGCCAAGTAATAATTGTATGGCGACAATAAAGGAGAATTGGTTTTATCATAAATATAACATACTACGTTTTATGTTTTCCAGATACGAGACATCGTCCGCAACAGCACATGGAGAAGAAGCACACTCTCAACCGGCTCTGGAAAAAACTACTTTCGCCATCCAAAGAGTAAGAAAACATTGTTTTTAAGTTTTATGTACTATTTAAAAAACGAGCAGGAGTGTTTTATTAGGTTTAAAGCCACGAGCGCGCAGCGCGAGTGGCTTTAGACCTAATAAAACACGACCTGTGATTTTTTTAAATGACTTCAAAAACATTTGCATAATAAGTCAAATAAAAATCTTTATATAGTTTGCACAACAATGGTCTTTTGTTAAATTGTTCTTTAGCTGGTATAAAGACGTATGCACGTGACTAATTTCTTACTCAAGATTGGATAATTGCTTCATGAATTATTAATGAGTTTTTGAAATTTCTATACTCCTTGTTTTCATTTGTTAAAGAGCAGATTGCATGAATTTTCGGTTATTGACATCATTTGACTGTTTTCAATGGAGGTGCATTAATTTTCAGGAGAGGTGCAAAATATCTCAGGGGGTAGTGTGCACCTCCCCCACCTTTCCCCTCCTCGACCATGCACTTAAACTGACCAAACGACAACGTTCGTTTCCTCAGGTTCCTCGAGTTCCCCTAAGAAAACAGTGATCGGTTCACGCATAAACGAAAAGATGGTTGAAAAGAGTGCAAGACTGCAGTTAGAGAGTAATGGTTGGAAATCTGAAAGTGCTGGCCATGGTGGAAACAACAACCTGAACGTGTCCGTCGCTGAGGAAGCGAGAGAAAACGAGAACATGATGTCTCCTCTCCAAGGTTAGTAACAGGAAACGTTTCGTTGCCCAAAAGACAGGGGCGGCGCTGCAATTTTCTGTTTCGTAAACCGCCAGGTTCACCACTAACAAGCAGTGTCACCACTTTCAGCGTGCGTCACATTCGGTGAATATGAAATGAGGTATTCACCATGCGAAACATGGTGGAATGATTATTACTTTCGCCTTCAAATTAATGTTGTTGACATCTTGAAAATCTGAAAATATTGTTGACATCTTGAAGCCTTGAAAATCTGAAATCCATTCACCTAAACATTTGGCTGGTAGGTCCCGTGTACTGGTACCATAGATATATTATATACACTAGATATAAAATTGAAGCCAAGAATATTCCAGCGATTACATCAATTTGAATAGATGACGGCCATGTTGAAGTTTCCCACTCGCTAATATACGCTTAAAAAACAACAATAACTTTCATCATTTGAACAGTTTGAAAATGTATTTGGAATAGGTTTAACTTAATGTTTAAGTTCCTTGTTTAAGAAATAGGAAACGTACGAGTCTTCTCATTTCATGGGAATATCCTGAGTCTGCAATCACGGCTTCAATTTTTGAATTGCAGAATAATTAGATGCACTATCTAGTGTATATAAGATATCTATGACTGGCATATATAACTCTGTTCACATATAATTATAAATATATGTTCATCTGACACGTAGAAATTTTTCATTAACCGAGTATTCGCAGATTTTCGGCAACCTTTCCAGTGCTTTTACGCGAAGAACGTCTTTCTCTACTTCAGATATCGCCTTGCTGGATAGCTGTATCTCAAATCTAATCACCTGGCGCCGGGTGCATGTTTGAAAGCGGGTTACCTAATCTGGGGTTAACGAAAAACTTCAAAACAAAGTTCCCAACAGCTTGCTCATAAGTATAGATAATAGTATGGTTTCGAGTGCAATTTGAAAAAAGCATGCACGAGTGAGTTTCCAAAGACTATCAAAATTGTACGAGTCCGAAGGACCAGTGCAACTTCAAGTCTTTGAAAATTTTCAGTCCTTTTTCAACGTCCATCCAACGTCTGGAAGGTCATGTCGGGCGTTGATTCAACGTTGAATCAACGTCATTTTGCCCGTTGAGGAGTGTATGTTTTTCAAATTGCACGACAAACCATACTATTACTTATTAATAATATACATCAAAAAATTATGCAGTCAAGTGCATAAGTCACATTTAGAAATTAAGAAATTTGAAAAATAGAAAATTAAGAAATTTGCACTGTGTTTCTCTTTTTGCACTGTATTTTATTTTTTGGCACTGTATTTCGAAGAAATTGCACGGCTCTTAGCCAATCAGAATTGAGAAATTTTTTCATGTATATTATTAACTTGGAAATATTTTTCCAGAAAACTTGTCAGAATCAGTAAAACTCTCATTCTCTGAAGTTTTAATATTAGCAGACATAGATTTGTACCCATGCAGGGTTAACACGAATCGTGCTTTGAACAATGGTGGAAATTTCAAACTGCATGGCATCAGTAATGCCAGTGTGAAATTTCCATGTACAAACAAGCCATCAACATAATTGAGTTCTATCTAGCGAGACGCCAAAATCTTGAAAATTTACCCATCATCCACAAAAACTTTCTTTAAGGCCACAGTTCATCGAACGAGTTCGTTGGCCGAGACAACGATGCAGTTGAGGGTGAAGCCTACCACCGTACTCGGAATGGAGAGTTGGGGAATTCGTCTTCTACAGACAGACCCTCAAACAATGAAGAGGCTCACTTGGCTGTTTAATAACATTACGGTGCAAGGTTACACACTCTGAATCTACTTACTTCCAAAGAAATACTTGCTTTCATTAAAACTCACAAACGTCTATGTTACCACATATACACATAAAAAGGCCTCGAGCATTGCTTCTGAAAAGGCATAGACTCTAAGTAAACCTAAACTAAACTAAACTAACTTTATTTATACTGCATAGCTTTATCAGTTCTAAACTGTTCTCCCTAGAGGTCCAGTAAGGATCATCTCTTGTTGTTAAACTGATTGTGTAAATTGCACGCATGGACAACAGTAGCATTTACAGCCTATGTAAATTCGTATAAAAGAGTTTCAATCATATGAAACGTATGTAACTTTACCGTCAACAAATCTCCATTGAGGAACGCCTGTACAAATCAGCAATTTCAAACGTCCACCAGTTCTGTCTTTGTGGTTGAGGTGTTGCCCAATGTTATACACTTGGAAAATTTCTGAAATATACTCATGCAAAACAAAATACCTATGTCATATGGCCCTCCTATGCAGTGTAATATTTTGCGTGGCAAAGTCATCAATTATAAACTATGAAGCTTATAGAGAATCGTTTTCCTTTTCAACATATTTTTGGGTAACCACGCTGATATTGCGGACTTACAAATTCGCATTAAAAATTCAGTGGGCTCGCTTATGGCTCGGTTGCAATAGCAGTGACTAGTTACTCTGTTTCCTCGAGATGTATTTGTCTGGTTTAATATTAGAGCTTCTAACACATAGGCGGCCGGGGAGGGGGGAGTATGTTCCCCAGTCCAAATGTTGGCCTCGTTCTTAATTCTGCTGTATCTTCACCTCATTGACATGTTAGAAAAGTACTTGTAATTTGATTCCACAAAACACTATACGGGTTTTCTCCAGGAGCACATATTCCTGTTTTCTCATGCAGTTACATTTGAGGCCAGTAAAACATGTTTCTATACTGTATAACTCTCCCAAGAAAGAGAACTTTTTAGGAATAACACTGGAAATTTTTTTCCAAATTCTAACTATGGAAATAGTATGGAACTTAGGGGCTGTTCATATGAGCCCTGCTCTGCCGGGCTGGCCGGGCTGGTTTTCAAGTGCCGAGATCCTACCTCACATATTGTTTGTATATTAATTTAGAATTGGGTTCATATGAGAAGCGGGCCAGCCCGGTTTGCCAGGATCTCGCTTGAGCGAGGCGAGATCCCAGCATGCCCGGGGGTCATATGAATGCACAACCGGGCTAGCCCGGCAAGCTGTGCTGGAAATTTGCGTGCTTTATTCCACAGATAAACAGTCTAAAATGTCCAAAACTATAGGAATTTATCGAAATTAAACCTCCTGAAGCTGTTGCCGTCGACAAAAATAAAATTTTGCCAAATAAACACGAATTTTATTTTCCCGCTAAAATATCGCGGGAAATCGTTACTATGAATAGATATGATTGCCGTTACTATGAATAGATAAGATTGCCGGGCTAGCCCGCCTCATGTGAAAGCAAAGCGGGCCAGCGCGGCAAAGCGGGTCAGCTCGGTTAACCGGGCTCATATGAACAGTGTGGAAATCCAATTTTCATACAAATCGCAATTTACATTTACTATGGATATATAGTATGCAAATAGTGTGGATATAGTATGGATGTATTATGGAAATAGTATAATATACTATGGATCTGGTAATGCAATCGCAAATTCCATAGCATATGAATTTCACTATCAGTTTTTTCCAGTGTAACTTATTGACCAAGATTGGGATATTTTGGATCGTAGCAAGCCAATATATACTGCATATTTAATTCCCTATTACGCCCAGAATCTTGAATTAATTATTTGTAATATTTATCTTACTTCTGAAGGAACTCAATAATCTGGGTCAACACAGTTGTCAAATTATATTATACATTATCCAAACACGAAGATATGAAAGATATCTTAATGTGGTCACGCTAATGAGTAATGCCAGGTTTCAAATTATTTTTATTAATTTTTTTGCCTGTGACTGTGTCTTCTTGTATGAAGCTGTTGTATGGCTAAATCTCTTTTTATTAAAATGTTTCTTCATTCTTGGCAAAGCAGTCACAGCAAATGTGACGAGGCAGCGCACCTTTTTAAAAATTAAAGTATGTTTGCTCCGGAAGGAAAGCAAACTTTCAGAACAATTAATGAAAGATCGCTGATGCATGCAAACTCTACATTATTCTTGAAAGTTCAACATGCACAGGATATCCAATAACTGCCCACTATGTTTTGTGGCATGGCTATGTTCACATTGATGTGAGTTGCAAATTTTTACAAGGCATCAAGTCAGAGTGGACCATGCATGGATTAAATCATGACTACAGTGAGGGTGGGAAAGGGTATTTTCGTGAGCCGTGAATGGTCAACATTTGTTCGCGTGAAATGTGAAATGCTTGATTTTAGTGTCGTGAAATGTGATTTGTTACACACCCGTGAGGCGTGATTGTCCATAAAAATGCTCCGTGAAATGAGAATTAAGGATGTCTGTTTCGTGAACTGTGATTTTGCTTTGTTTATTTCGATTTTTTTTATAATAGTCATAATAAACATGATACGCGATAATCAATTTATATGATCTCACTCCATTGCACTTCTAGGAAATTTCAGAGCAGGGTTATTCTAAGGAAATTTAATCACTGCACAAAAGCACGAAAACAATAAAATTTATATAAATTTAGCGACATTTTAGAAAACGTTCTGACTGCCCTGCATGAGCACATGTACTCTGGTTCTGCAACATAAAAACCTTGTCCTCGCCGCCAGTAACCTTGTCCTCACCACCAGTAACCTTGTCCTCACCGCCAGGAACCTTGTCCTCACCTCCAGGAACCTTGCCCTCACCGCCAGGAACCTCGTCCTCACAGCCAGGAACCTTGTCCTCACCGCCAGGAACCTTGTCCTCACCACCAGGAACCTTGTCCTCAGCGCCAGGAACCTTGTCCTCACCGCCAGGAACCTTGTCCTCACCGCCAGGAACCTTGTCCTCAGTGCCAGGAACGTTGTCCTCACCGCCAGGAACCTTGTCCTCGCCGCCAGGAACCTTGTCCTCAGCGCCAGGAACCTTGTCCTCAGCGCCAGGAACCTTGTCCTCACCGCCAGGAACCTTGTCCTCACCGCCAGGAACCTTGTCCTCACCGCCAGGAACCTTGTCCTCACCTCCAGGAACCTTGCCCTCACCGCCAGGAACCTCGTCGTCACAGCCAGGAACCTCGTCCTCACCGCCAGGAACCTTGTCCTCACCACCAGGAACCTTGTCCTCACCACCAGGAACCTTGTCCTCACCGCCAGGAACCTTGTCCTCACCGCCAGGAACCTTGTCCTCACCGCCAGGAACCTTGTCCTCATCGGCAGGAAACTTGTCCTCACTGCCAGTAACCTTGACCTCACCGCCAGGAACCTTGTCCTCACAGCCAGGAACCTCGTCCTCACAGGCAGGAACCTCGTCCTCACAGGCAGGAACCTTGTCCTCACCGGCAGGAACCTTGTCCTCACCGCCAGGAACCTTGTCCTCACCGCCAGGAACCTTGTCCTCAGCGCCAGGAACCTTGTCCTCAGCACTAGGAACATTGTCCTCACCGCCGGGAACCAATCCTTACTGCCGGGAACCTTGTCTTCACCGCCGGGAACCTTGTCCTCAGCGCCGGGAACCTTGTCCTCACCGCCAGGAACCTTGTCCTCACAGCCAGGAACCTTGCCCTCACCGCCAGGAACCTTGTCCTCAGTGCCAGGAACGTTGTTCTCACCGCCAGGAACCTTGTCCTCACCGCCAGGAACCTCGTCCTCACAGCCAGAAACCTTGCCCTCACCGGCAGGAACCTTGTCCTCACCGGCAGGAACCTTGTCCTCACCGGCAGGAACCTTGTCCTCACTGCCAGCAACCTTGTCCTCACCGCCAGGAACCTTGTCCTCACCTCCAGGAACCTTGCCCTCACCGCCAGTAACCTCGTCCTCACAGCCAGGAATCTTGTCCTCACCGCCAGGAACCTTGTCCTCACAACCAGGAACCTTGTCCTCACCGCCAGAAACCTTGTCCTCACCGCCAGGAACATTGTCCTCACCGGCAGTAACCTTGTCCTCACTGCCAGTAACCTTGTCCTCACCGCCAGGAACCTTGTCCTCACCTCCAGGAACCTTGTCCTCACCTCCAGGAACCTTGCCCTCACCGCCAGGAACCTCGTTCTCACCACCACGAACCTTGTCCTCACCGGCAGGAACCTTGTCCTCACCGCCAGGAACCTCGTCCTCACCGCCAGGAACCTCGTCCTCACCGCCAGGGACCTCGTCCTCACCGCCAGGAACCACGTCCTCACCGCCAGGAACTTTGTCCTCACCGCCAGGAACCTTGTCCTCACCGCCAGGAACCTTGTCCTCACCGCCAGGAACCTTGTCCTCACCGGCAGCAACCTTGTCCTCACAGGCAGGAACCTTGTCCTCACCGCCAGGAACCTTGTCCACACCGCCAGGAACCTTGTCCTCACCGGCGGGAACCTTGTCCTCACAGGAAGGAACCTTGTCCTCACTGGGAGAAACCTTGTCCACACCGCCAGGAGCTTTGTCCTCACCGGCAGGAACCTTGTCCTCACCGGCAGGAACCTTGTCCTCACAGGAAGGAACCTTGTCCTCACCGCCAGGAACCTTGTCCTCACCGCCAGGAACCTTGTCCTCACTGCCAGGGACCTTGTCCTCACCGCCAGGGACCTTGTCCTGACCGCCAGGGAGCTTGTCCTCACCGCCAGGAACCTTGTCCTCACCGCCAGGAACCTTGTCCTCACCGCCAGGAACCTTGTCCTCACCGGCCGGAACCTTGTCCTCACAGGCCGGAACCTTGCCCTCACCGCCAGGAACCTTGCCCTCACCGCCAGGAACCTTGTCCTCACTGCCAGCGACCTTGTCCTCACCGCCAGGAACCTCGTCCTGACCGCCAGGGACCTTGTCCTCACCGCCAGGAACCTCGTCCTCACAGCCAGGAAGCTTGTCCTCACCGGCCGGAACCTTGTCCTCACCACCAGGAACCTTGTCCTCACCTCCAGGAACCTTGCCGTCACCGCCAGGAACCTCGTTCTCACCACCACGAACCTTGTCCTCACCGGACGGAACCTTGTCCTCACCGCCAGGAACCTTGTCCTCACCGCCAGGAACCTCGTCCTCACCGCCAGGAACCTTGTCCTCACCGCCAGGAACCTCGTCCTCACAACCAGGAACCTTTTCCTCAACGCCAGTAACCTTGTGCTCACCGCCAGTAACCTTGTCCTCACCGCGAGGAACCTTGTCCTCACAGCCAGGAACCTTGTCCTCACCGGCCGGAACCTTGTCCTCACCGCCAGGAACCTTGTCCTCACCGCCAGGAACCTTTTCCTCACCGCCAGGAACCTTGTCCACACCTCGAGGAACCTTGCCCTCACCGCCAGGAACCTCGTCCTCACAGCCAGGAACCTTGTCCTCACCGGCAGGAACCTTGTCCTCACCGCCAGGAACCTTGTCCTCACCGCCACGAACCTTGTCCTCACTGCCAGCAACCTTGTCCTCACCGCCAGGAATTTTGGCCTCACCTGCAG